TCTCCCTCTCCCTCTCCCTCAAAGAAAGGCTAATTGGTGGCTTTAAGTCTATTTCAAGCCAAGCCTGCCTATTTACCAGGTCATTTGGTTAAACAATGTGTTTTTCTTTTTCTGAAAAGCAAGCTAGAAACTTCAGGGAGCTGTTTTAAGGTTGGGACATGAATCCCACAGCACCTGTTCATCCACTCGATTGGACACAAGAGACAGTTGATGGGCAGTGACCCTCACAGGATGGAATTTGTTTCCAAGCAGAATCCCAGGGGCACGTGGGGGAGGCTGTGAGTGTGAGTATCCAGGACTTATAGCTGGGCCAGTGTGGGCCTGGCTCTGCCCTAGACAGAGTGCTCTGAGAAGCTTCCTGTCTTCGCGAGGTGAAGCATCAGGGGGCACAGAAAGATCACAAATAATAGCTGTGTAATATATCATTTGGTAATGAGGGTTTTAGAAATGGGTAAGGAGGTATTTGAAATATAGGTTTAAGCTGGGCTTGGTCATGTAGGCCTGTATGGGATACTGGAAGCTGAGGTAGGGGGCTCACAAGTTCAAGGCCCACCTGGATTTCACGAGACTGTCTTAAGACAAAAAGTAAAAAGAGGCCGGAAGGGAAGGGAGCTTGGGGCAGAGAAGCTGCCAGGATGGGTGAGACCATGGGTTCTGTGGACGATACCATAAACTAAATAGACAAAGGCTTGACTTTTACTGAAGCACGTGGGGCCAGCATGTCATGGGGAAAGAGCATGTCACTGCAGAGTAGCGTGTTCCTCCAGGGAAGGGGCACAGGGAGACGACAGGGTAGGAGGTATGAGGAACAGGGAGGCCATATTGGGGGGAGGGGTTTTTCCTGTAGCTTCTGTGTGAGGACCAGGTGAAGAACAACAAGCAGGCTTGGTCTTTGGGTCAGAGGGGCTGTGCCTAGCTTCCTGATGCCTGGTTTTAATGTGTGTGATATGGGAACTGTGTGCTGGGGCAGCCACTCCACCCAGGAAGTGGTTGGCTCAAGGCTCTGGAGGTAGGTTTGAAATTGACAGTCTCTAGGGACTGAGACCCAGGAAGTAGCAACTGCTCTTGGTCTCTGGTGACTAGAGATGAAGTGGGTGTGTCTGAGAAGGAGAAAATGCTCAGGAGATGGGGGGGTAGGGGGTAGAGGTAGGGTGGGAATGGGGGGTATGGGCTATCATAGGCAAGGGTGGGAGTGCCGGGCAGGTTGGCTCTGGGGAGATGTGAGAGAAACCTGACAGCTCCAGGGCTGCGGGGACTGAGGGCAGGAAGGAGAGGAAACAGGAAGACCAGAGAGGTGGAGCCTGTCACACCTCAGAGCTCCTGAGGAGAGGTGGCATCTGAGGAGAGGTGAGGGAAGGTAGTGGGAGATGGAGTAGCATTGAGAAGGATGCTGGGAGGAGCCAGGGGCCGGGCCTAATGACTGCAGAGGTTATAAATTGGTTTCTGAGGTGGCCCAGCCGTGTGTCTGCCCTGGGCTCTCTCCAAGGCCCTTACCTCTGGGCATTCCACCGAGCCCTTCCTTCTGCTTGAATCTCTGCTCTCTCAACTTAGCATCATTGCCTCTGTGAGTCCTTCTCTGAACAGACTTTTTAAAATGTTTTCTGAGGGGTGGTGATAGTACATGTCTTTAATCCCAGCACTTGGGAAGCAGAGGCAGGCAGATCTCTGTGAGTTTGAGGCCAGCCTGGTCTACAGAACTAGTTCCAGGACAGCCAGGGCTACACAAAGAAACTCTGTCTCAAAACCATACAAACAAAAGAACCAAAACCAAAACAAAACAAATAACCTGAACAAAATAATAAATAAATAAAATACTTTTAGAGGTTTTAAGGCTAAAAGCCTGGGTCGCAGGAATGTCATGTCCTCGAGGCTACTCCCAACCCTCACTGCACCTTCTACTTTGAGACAGAATCTCACCAAGCTGCCAGGTCAGCTTTGAAGTCCCTCTGGGGCCCAGTTTGGTATTGGATTTATAATCCTTGTGCTTCCACCTCTGGAGTAGCTGGGGTTACTGATGTCACCTGCTTACACATAAGCTGCCATGTTCTGCCTCCCCTGACCCTGTCACCAACATCAGTTTCCTTCTTGCCAAATTCAGATATTCACCACCTCTCTTCCTGTCACTGTGTGGCCCTCACAAAGATCAGGCCCTGGTCCCCAGGGTTGGCTGTTGGGAGGCATTGCTGATGGCCCCTGAACCCTCTAAAAGGGTAAGGATGGATGCAGTGTCCACAGCTGAGATGGTGACAGCCATCAGTTCCCTCCTCTGTGTCCCCCCTTCTGGAGCCAGACTCTGACTGCATGACAGTGTCTCGCCTGAGTACATCAGGGCATTGGGACAGGATGGTAACAAGTGTCAAGGAGGCCAAAGTCAGATTTGTTTTTATATAACATCCTGACATGTTCATCGAGTGCTTGAATCTTAAAGCTGGAAGCGTTAAAGCATCTGAGTCTTGATTGCTGAGTCTTCTGGTCCTTCTCTCTCACTTTGGTGTCAAAGACAGATGCCTAGTGGCCTCACTTTGGTTTAGGGCCACTCAGAGGCTCTTGTCCTTTGTGACAGGTCCCAGAAGAGGACAACCATGGGACTGATGGTGATTTGGCAAGCCTGGTGCCAAGTGTCCTAGAGGCAGAGTATGCACACAAGGCTGTCAGGGTGGGCACAGAGGCCCTGCTGAGTGAGGCAGGGCATAGGTCACACCAGCCCAATGCATCTCTCACCACAACCTTCTTATAGCCTCAGATGGCCCATGGACAGTGAGTCCCTGGCTAAGAGGACAAAATACTTGGCCTAGGGATTGCCCTCTGCTCCAGAACAGTTTGCTGGGTGTCCTGGGTACCCTGCTTCTTACTTCAGGCCTCTGAGACTACTCTGCTGTTGGTGGAATCTAGAGCCTTTGTCCCCAGGGGAGGTCCTGGGTGGTGGCAGCCCAGGCTTCAGGATAGAGTCAGACCTGCAAAGGAAAGGTTAGAGATCCCGGCCCCTGAGACTCCAGCCTTTCCACACACTCCAGGTCCTGTCTTCAGTTTGAGGGCCTTCTCCCTGACAAGTGGCATTTCTTTTCTCACTCTGACTTTGGAGAGCTCCCCAGTACACCCCTCCCAGTGCATTTTTTAGGCTGTCTTTCACAGCCACCTTTGAGGGTGAAAAGGCACCCCATTACTCTGAGGTGTTACCCTGATGATGGTGGTGCTGGGCCATAACACCTGCTGGGCCAGGGAAGGCGATGCTAATTAGTAGTACCTTACTTTGTAGCTCTGAGTCACTGGAAAGCAGGTGTCAGAGGAGCTTTTAAGGAGGTCCTCGGGGGTTTGCATGGCATTTCCACTCTGCCTATTTGTGGGTATATTGCGCAGAGATGGCTGTGTCTCTCCATGAGATCAGGAGAAGGCGGAGGCGCTCCAGGGACCACAACAGCCTCCAGTGTGAAAAACAAATGCTGTGACAGATAGCGGTCCATGACTATGACAAAACACCAGAGGGTGGCAGCTTGAAGGAGGGAAGGTTTATTTCCGTTTCTGGTTTCACCATGGTCACGCGGCCCCATTGCTTCTGACCCGCTTCAAGGGGCAGCATCCCAGGAGGGCCAGCTTGCTGGCACTCAACTGCTTTCCCCACTGCATCCAGGAAGCAGAGTGGAAGCAAGAGGAAGTTATCTGGGGCAACACACCTTTCAAGGGCACGTCCCTGATAATAGACTTCCTCCAACCCGACTCCACCCCTCTATGTTTCTACTACTTTCCAGCAGCCCTTGAAGCTGTGAGCTTATCATGGGTTGATCCATTGGTGGGCTCAGGGCCCTTGTGATCCCTTCACCAGAGGTCCCACCTCTGAACACTGCTGCATGGGAATTAAATCTTTGACAGGTAAGCCCTGGGTGACAGGTGAGCCCTGGGTGACAGGTGAGCCTCTGGGTGACAGGTGAGCCTCTGGGTGACAGGTGAGCCTCTGAGTGACATTTCAGATGAGGTCAGGCACATTTAGGGTGGTATGGCTCTAGACAGTTGGGGAACATTTGAATCTAAGTTGCAGTGGACACGTTTTCCATCTCTGTTCCTTTTTGTCCCTTCCCCTTTCTTTTTTTCTTTTTTCTTTTTTTAGTAAGTATTTTCTGAGCACCTGTTAGGTGCTGACCCTGAACGAGGCCTTGGGAAGCAGCAGGGAACTGCCTTCAAGTCCCTGCCACAGTACACGGCTGGTCCTGCAGGACACAGAGCAGAGCTCAGGAGCTGAGAATGGCTTGGTGAAGGCTCAGCAGGGAATGGAGAGAACCATGAAGTGGCAGGTCTCAGGACAGCGAGACAGTGGAAGGAACACCCTCACCCTTAGCCAGGCAGTGCTCCGCGGGGAGGGCGGCCCAGCAGATGGCTCTGCGTTTGAGAAGCCCCACAGTGAGGTGGGGTAGGCTGGATGTGTCTGAAGGGAGGTAGGAGGGGCTGCTGGAAGGTCTGAGGAGGGGTGGAGACTCACAGCAGGCAGGGGTCGGGCTGCACAGCCCACAGTCAGGCTTAGACCTGTCTCAAAGGCCAATTTCTGCTGCTGGACAGAGAAGACGGCAGCTGGGATGTGGGGAGCAGGGAGTAAAGCTGTTAGGCATGTGTGTGTGTGTGTGTGTGTGTGTGAGCACGTGTCTGTGTGTGCATGTCTGAGCATGAATGTGTGTATGCCACATGTCTGTGCATGAGTGTGTGTGTATGCAACGTCTCCTCAGTGCCAGGAACCCAGGACTCAGGCTGAGATGGAATCTTCTAGGTTGGCCCGGGATCCCTCTTGGGGCACAAACTATTTCTTGAGTGAGTGGCTTCTTTTGAGGGCATAGAGGAGGTTCCCTCACACTCCCCAGACTTCCTGGGGACCACCATCACTGCCAGAAGCACGGGTCCATGGTGGGTTTAGACTGAGGCTCAGGCAAGGGGTATAAAGTCCCTATGCCCTTTTTTTTTTGGTAATATTAAAACAAATTGGAGTAGGCTAAAATCTCACTAATTTTAAACCACAGAATGAAGCAGTTTCACCTTTGAAGTCAGCAGAGATGACTGGCTTGTTGGTGCCCCCCACGCTCACTGGGATGAGTGGAGTCTGGAAAGAGAGCCCTCGAGGTGTAGAAGAGGATGTGGAGAGTGTGAGCAGGAAGGATGAAGGACGAGCTTGGGGGTCAGGGGCAGGAGGAGCCTGAACACAGCATCCGTGCTGGGCTCCCTAAAGGTCTTCTGTTTGCTTCTCTCCCATTGGGTCAATATCTCCCATCCCGCAGACCCTGGCAACATGGTCCTTTCACTAAGAGACAAAGCTCCTTCCTTGAAAGTCCCAATGGCAGGCTCTGTCTTCCTTCCCTGAACACACACTAAAGTCACATGTGGCTGCCTGCTGTCTATTTTTCTCCAGGCAGTCCCCCAGCGGATGCTGGTTTTTCTGGGCATGTTCTTTACATGGTAGGACGTGGCCAGTCAGCTTCTTAGGGAGAGAAACAGCTATGAGGCTGGGGTGGGTGAGGCACTGGCCTTAGCTAGCTTCCCTGTTACTTCTGGGCTTAGAGGGAGGGCAGGGACTCTTGGTGATGTGGCACATATTCTTTCCGTGCCTTCTGTGGCTTCTGTGCTGTGGCTCACTCAGATCAGTCCCGGGCCAGGGCTGGACTTGAAAGCACTAAGTCCTTTTCCAGGCTCCAGTGGCGGTGGTTGCATGAAGCCGCAGCTGGCAGGCAAGGCAGGGGTGTCTTCTCGCCTCAGTTGTTGTCCCTAGTGTCTGAAGAGGCACTTCCAAACAAGATGTCACTGTCCTGGGACATGCCACTGAGCTGTGACTTAGTTTTGATGAGGTACTGGGCCCGGCGGATCAGCACCCGTTCTTGTTCCTGCTTGAGCTCCAGGTAAGAGCGGGAGAAAGTATGGAAGATGGAGGTGACAGGGAAGGCCATGAGGAGGATTCCGCTGAGGATGCTGCTCAGAGCCACCACCTGGCCCGGCGTGCTCCGGGGTACCATGTCTCCGTAGCCCACGGTTGTCATGGTGATGACAGCCCACCAGTAGCAGGCAGGGATGCTGGTGAATTCGGGGCTGTCTGCCATCTCATTCTCGATGACGTAGAGCAGTGGGGCAAAGAGGGCGATGGCCACACACAGGAAAAGCAGCAGAAGCCCGAATTCACGCGTGCAGCGGCGTGCCGTGAGGCCCAGTGTCTGCAGCCCCAGTGAATGTCGAGCCAGGCGCATCACGTAGAGAATGCGTAGCGCCCGCAGCACGCGCAGCACCAGCCCGACCTTGTCCAGGTAGCTGTTCCCGGTGCTTGGCTTGCGGCGGCTGGAGGCAGCGCCATCCACCAGCAGCGTGACATAGTAAGGCAAGATGGCCACCAGGTCGATGAGGGTCAGCGGGCTCCGCAGGAAGGCGAACTTGCTGGGTGCCTGGATGAACCGCAGTAGGAACTCAAGGGAGAACCAACCCACGCACACCGACTCTACGATGAAGACATTGTGGCACATCTGGGAACACTGGCCCTGCGGGAGGCAGGGATCACACCAGCAAGTCATCAGGGAAGTTCCAGCTTAAATGGGACACCCAGCTCCCCTGCCTCTCCACGCCACCAGGCACTAGGCATCCCTCTAGCTGGTGTTAATCCCTATCTCCAGACAGACTCCTATGCAGCTGCCACTCCAGGCTCCTGCTCTCTTGATTTCCCCTTTAACTCGGGCTCCTGGTTGCTCCCCTGCTTGCTGTTTCCCCCTCCCCCTCCCTTTTTCTTTTTCCTTTGAGATGGGGTTTCTTCTTGTAGCCCTGGCTGTCCTGGAACTCTGTCTCTGTACATCAGGCTGGCCTCGAACTCACAGAGATCCCCCTGCCTCTGTCTTCCAAGTGCTGGGATTAAAGGAGTGGGCCACCACCACCCAGCCCCCCTTCCTTCCTTTCTTTTCTTTTTTTTCCCTACTGCAGAATACTGATACAGGTGCTAGGGTGATACATCCCATGAAACTAAGTCAGCCTGCATCCCCCACCCCACCCCCAGCTAGCATCCTCCGGGCACCCAGCCCTCAAGTGGTTGGAGCCCTGGAAAACTACAGGTGTTCCAACCATAGACTTCCTAAAACAGTGGTTCTTAACCTGTGGATCGGAACCCCTTTGTGGGATCCCATATCAGATGTCCTCTATATCAAATATTTGCACTATGATTCATAACAGTAGCAAGATTACAGTTATGAAGAAACAACAAAACCAGTTTTATGATTGGGGGTCATCACAACTCGAGGAGCTGTGTGTTAAAGGGTTGAAGCATTAGGAAGGCTGAGAGCCACCGTAAAAGCTCTTGATCGTGACCTAGGTTCTCAGAGGACCTCTGTGGTCTTATCTTTCTGAAAATGCACTCCAGCCTGGGAACGTGATTTGACCTGGGGACTCTGATGTCTCCAACCTCTGGGGTAGGAAGCTCTCCTCCTGGAAGCCTTCCTGGAGTGTACCCCACCTGAGTAGCCCCAGGTGTGTTTGGGCCTCTCATACAAGTCCCCTTGTTGTGTGGTTATGAAGTAGGATAACACTAATGCAGCTAAGCCCAATATACTTGGAAGTATGAAGACTTGTCCTGGTCACTGCCTCCCCTGCAGTGCCTGTATACAGTAGATCCTCAGATGTATGCACATGGACCAGGTGCCACAATGGATTCTACTGGTCCCCAAATAAAATCAAACATCATTGCCACTGACATAAAGAAGGCCAGGGATGGGCATGGTGGCACACCCCTTTAACCCCAGCACTTGGGAGGCAGAGGCATGGTTGGTCTTTGTGAGTTTGAGGCCATTGGCCTACAGAGCAAGTTCCAGGATAGCCAGGGTTACATGGCAACAATATAAATAAATAAATAAATAAATAAATAAATAAGCAAGCAAGCTAGGGATCATTCCCCCCCCACACACTCTCTCTCTCTCTCTCTCTCTCTCTCTCTCTCTCTCTCTCTCTGTCCCTTTGGTTCTTTCTTTCAAGACAGGGTGGTGGAGGATGACTTAGAATTTCTGACCCTTCTCTCTATACCTCCCAAGTGCTGGGATCGTAGATTCAAACAACCCTGTCCTGTTTGTTTGTTTATTTGTTTATATTGTTTTTTAGACAGGGTTTCTCTGGGTAGTGCTGGCTGTCCCAGAACTTGCTCTGTAGACCAGGCTGGCCTCAAATTCAGAGATTTGCCTGCCTCTGCCCCCTGAGTGCTGAGATTAAAGGCATGTGCCACCATCACCTGGTTTATTTGATTTTTCAAGACCTATCAGGATGCTGTGGGTGATCCAGTGGGTAAAGCACTTGCTGTGAGGACCAGTGTTTGGATCCCCAGGGCCCAGGTAAAATCCAGGCAGGTGTGGCAGCCACTGCAGTCTCTGCTCAGAAGGCAAAGACAGGATCCAGAGGCAAGCTGGGTAGCCAGATTAGCCAGGATTGGCAAACTCTTGGTTCAAGTAAGAGATCCCGCCTCAATGAAAAAAGCATAGGTCAATTAGGAAAACATGTGAGGTCAGCTCTCGGCCTCCACTCACATTCCTGCACGTGTGCACTCTTACACATGCATATGCACCACATGCATGTATACACACATGTACAACACATGCACACACACTACACATGACATGCATGTATACACATCACACATATACACACACATCACACATGCACACATAACACATGCATACACATCACACAATCACATACATGCACAGATATCACACATGCACACACATGTACAGACATCACACATGCACACACATTACACAATCACTTACATGCACACACACCACATATATGCACATACATCACACATATGACACATATCACATACATCACACTTCACACATACACACACCACACACATGCACACAATCATACACATGCACAGACATCACACATGCATACACACCACATGCATGCGCACACATCATGTACATTATACAGGCCCACACACCACATATATGCACACGCATCACACACATACGTGAGCACATGCACATACTTGCACACACATCACACACAAATCACACACATACACACATTTAAAAAGAGTGCTATCAGGACTGGGAGTGTATACACGATGATGGGCCACTTGCCTAGCCTGTGTCGGGCCCTGGTCTCCACCTCCAGCACCATATGGAAAAAAAAAACCGAAACAGTGCCAGAAGTTCCATCAGCCTGGCTTTGATACTGTTTTCCTGATAAAATTAGAAATAAGGTAGTGTGTGTGTGTGTGTGTGTGTGTGTGTGTGTGTGTGTAGGAGGAGTGGTGGAGAAATGACTCAGTGGTTAAGAGTGCCTACTGCTCCTCAGGAGGACCTGAGTTCAGTTCCCAGCACTGTGACAGGGGGTTAATCAGAGCCTGTAACTCCAGGGCATCCAACATCCTCTGCTGGATTGAGAGAGTCCTCATTCCCCAGCCCCATAGACATAAAAATAATATAAATCTTTAAAAACGTAGGACCAAGAATATTGGAGCTGGTGATGATGAACCTACAGAAGGTCGAAGCAGAAAGCATTGTGAGTTTCAGGCCAACCTGGCCTAGTAAGGCTCTGTCTATCAAAATGATGGCGCTAAAACCAGATCTGTACTAAATGCCATCGGGTTCGGCGCTGACCCCCTTACATGGACTTCCTCACTGAACTCAATGTTCAGAACAGCGTTCCTAGTCCCCTGAATGGGTGGAGAAACTGAGTCATAGCATGGTCTTGTAACTGTCTCACAGCTACGCAGCCAGGGTGGGTGAGATGGGACTCAGGTTCCGGCTCTCTGGCTTTCCCTGTCCCCAGTCCCTGTGACCATCAACATTAAATTTTGTTGGTGAAATGTTTTCTTAAGATCCTTAAAAAAAAAAACTTCCAGTGTGTAAGAACATGCCAGCAATCCTCTCTGGGTTGTAAAGGCGGCCAGGATGACCAAATCCGCCACGACATCTGTAGATGGAATGGCTCCTCCCTCGTGAGAACTTCCAAGATTAAGTCAATCAGCACAAAAGGCTTAGCACATGCAGGCTCTACAGCCCGTCCTCAGTTAGTGCTGCTGGCATCTATTCACGCCACGCTGTCAGACTGTCTCTCAAATGTCTGCACAGTGTGTACCTGGTTCCTTCATGTGGCCTCAGGAGTCACAACCCAAAGGCCCAGGGGACCTCGCCTGTGTACCCACATCTTTCCAAAGGTGTGTCTCTGTCATCGGTATGAAAAGGCAAGTGTGCATCTCCATATGGGAGACACCTTATGTCTGAAGACCTCAAGTCCAGCTTGGGGGAGTTGTGGGCAGGTCAGCCATGGACTTCTGTGGTCCCCAGCTGCTGTGTGGGCTATGCAGACCATGGATTCCATGAACCCAGACTTGGTAAACTGTTCTGTCTGCTTCACTATCTTCACCTGCTGGGTGAGTGACAGAACATGTCTCCTCTGGAGTTACAGGAGGACCTGCAGGGACGGTAAGACAGAAGCAGAGCCCCACCCACTAGGTTCCCCTGGCTTTTGACACGCAGCCTGTGTCAGACTGAGAGTAAATGTTTTACATGCACCCCCCCCCACACACACACACAAGGTTTCTCTGTGTAGCCTTGGCTGTCTTGGAGCTAGCTGTGTAGACCAAGCTGGCCTCAAACTTGCAGAGATCCACCTGCCTCCGCCTCCTGAGTGACAGTGTGTGCCACTGCCAGCTACATGTGACTTTTTACTGTGCACAGAAACATGTTCATCCTGTGGGGACATGTACATATACACAGGCCTATAAATAAAAAAAACATGTTTTTATGGCTTAGAAAACGTTTGGGGCTGGAGAGATGGCTCAGCAGATAAGAGCACTGACTGATCTTCCAGAGGTCCCAAGTTAAAATCCCAGCAACCACATGGCAGCTCACAACCATCTGCAATGGGATCTGATGCCCTCTTCCAGTGGGTCTGAAGACAGCTTCAGTGTACTTGTATAAATAAAATAAATAAATCTTTGAAAAAAAAAAGAAAGAAAGAAAACAAGTTTGGTGTGTTACTATAGAAGGCAGATAGAGGGAGAGAGGTCTGGGGTCTGTGAGGTCAGTTTTAATGGTCTCTGGAGCGTGCCCAGCTCAGAGGCAGACATGTCAGGGTCACATCGTCCAAAACCTCTCACTCATGAAATCTGCAGAAGAGGCTCAGGGTCTCTTTGTTGGGCTTTGTTCTAGATCCCACAGGCTAGGACAGTAGGGGGCGCAGTAGAGACCGGGACACTCACATAGTATCAGGGAGGGAGATAGAGAAGATGGAGACAAACACATCCACATAGTATGACGTCAAGCACCACGGAGGCTGTTCAGCTAGCGCAGTGAGGGAAAGCTTCCCAGGGAAGGTGGCAGTGGCTAAGGAAGTTATAGCCAGTCTTGAGAGTTGCTCACGATCTTACCTGTTCCTCCTCCTCGCGCAGGCTGGGCAGGGTGCTGACAGACAGGTTGACGGCGGTGACGGTGACGAACAAAACGGACAGGCAGGCAAACACCTTGCCAGGCAGCCCTGAGTGTGGCCTCTCCACCATGTCACGCAGCCTCCTCATACAGCGGCTCAGGCGGCCCTCACTGGCGGAGGGACCCTCACTGTCTTGATCCTCGCTGTCCAGCGGCTCCTCCTCATCCTCGCGCTCCATCATCTCCGCAAACTCCTCGATTTTCTGCAGGTACCGGCGCTTGCAACAGCCGTCCAGGTGGTCCTCCGCGATGCCCCAGTACAGCAGCTCCTCCTGGAAGGACAGGGCACACATCTCCCGAAGCAGGCGCAGCTTGCCGGCCCGCAGGAACGTGAGGATGGTACCAAAAGCCCCGGGGTTGCGATCGAAGAAGAACTCGTTGCAGGTTACGTCATAGTCATCACACACGCTCAGGATGTCGTCGAAGTTGGTGCAGGCCTTGAGCTGGCCCAGCCGCGTCAGTGGGAACTCATCCAGCGTGGTCCAAGGTAGTGAGTACTTGATGCCACCCACATTGATGATGATCTGTCGCCTGCGGTCCCCAAGGGAGCTGCTCTGGTGTAAGTCGTCCTGCGGCCGCAACCGTTGGGCCCTGCGGTAGAAGACGCCCTTGATGGCCTGGCGCTGTGGGAAGAAGGCTGGGTGGAAGGAGGTGTCTGAGGCGCAGCTTAGAGCGCTGTAGTCATAGTCCGAGTTGTCTCCCGGTAACAGGGTCATTTTGGGGCTTCACATCCCTTTTGGGCCTGGAAGGAAGAGGAGCAGCTAATGCAGCAGCCCACAGTACCCACCACAGCACCCACCGAGGTCATCTGGCCCTCAATACCCCGAATGCTGAGTGAAAGGCCCTGGTATTGAAGGGATAGCTTTTGAAGCTACACAGTCCAGATAAGTCACCTACCTGTGAAATGGGTTTAATCATGTGAACCCATGCCACAGGATCAGAAAGGACAAAGTGCCTGACACAGGCCAGGTGCCCAGTACTGGTTGGTTATTGTATTGGTGTTTTTCTTAACACCTCTATCGCTTCCGCAAACAGGAAACAGGTTCATAAGAGGCAATGGGCAAAGAAATGTTTGACTATCAAAACAGGGCCTGTTTTGTCAAATATCACCTTGTGGTCTCCAGGAGTGGAGAACACAGTGCCAATACTGGCTCCTTTAGGTGCTTCAAAATAAATCCTCAGGTTGTATGTGTTTGTGTGTGTGTGCGCGCACGCATGCGTGCACATGCTCCCATACTTACATGCCTTGAGTCAGGATCTCACACTGAACCAGAAGCTTTCTGCTTCAGCTTGGCTGTCTGATCTGTGAACTCGTGGGATGTGCTTCTTTCCATCCCCCAATGCTGGGGCTACGGGCACATTCATCTATGTCTGGCTTTTTACATGGGAGGCGGGGATTTGAACTTGGGTCCTCGTGCTGCAGCAACAAGCACTTTACTCATGGAGCCATGCCCTTAGCCCCACTGTGTATCCAGTTTCACGGTTATTTGTGTGCAAGCTTGGAAACTTCTCTGGACAGTCTGTTCCCCGGGGGAGGTACCACCCCTGCCTCATCTCTGGATCCCTGCACCCAGCAGTGTAAACACTCCAGGACCCACTTGCTGGATGAGAGCATTTACTGTGCAGATGCCAGCAGCATGTGCCCACTTTAGAAAGCAAAGGTCAGACTATCAGCAACTTGAACTCCTTCCTTCCTGGCCTCAGAGTGAACGGGTGAGGGGGCTGACCTGTCTCCAGCATGTGGGTTCACCTTAGTTCACAAACACTTCTGATAATTAAGCCATTTCATGTCAAGAGATGTATTTGCGGCCCGAATTCCGGTTGAGAACCAGCCGTACCTTTTAGGCCCTAGTCTACTGCAGTCGTAACTGCCCCCCACCGCCAGTCATAACTGTCCCCTCACACCCGCCCCTCTTCACTCACGGGCATCTGAAACCTGAGATTACTCAAAAGACCTTTCTAGAACTAAATGGATGCATAGGAAAGTAGCAAAAGTTTAATATCCCCCTCCCCAATCTCACTACGTAGGCCAGGTTGTCCTCAGAACTGTGATCCTCCTGCCTCAGCTTCATGAGTGCTGGAATTACAGGTCTGCACTGTCATGCTTAGGTAACACTTTAAGATTACCATCCATCGATGGGCTTGGTAGTACACTCGGGAGGCTGAGGCAGGGGGATTACCCTAAAAAATATTTATTCAATGTGAATGGGTGTTTTGTCTGCATGCACATCTACACAGCAAGTGTGCAGTGCCCACGGAGGGGTTAGAAGTACAGACTGTGAGCTGCCAGGAATTGAACCTGGGACCTCTGGAAGAGCAAGCAGCCAGAGCTCTCTCTCTCTCTTTTTTTTTGTTTTGTTTGTTTGTTTGTTTTTCGAGACAGGGTTTCTCTGTGTAGCCTTGGCTGTCCCAGAACTCACTCTGTAGACCAGGCTGGCCTCGAACTCAGAAATCCGCCTGCCTCTGCCTCCCGAGTGCTGGGATTAAAGACATGCACCACCACTGCCCGGCTAGCCAGAGCTCTTAAGAGCTGAGCCATCTTTCTAGCCCAAGAGAGAGACACTGTTTTAAGACAGGTTTTCTCTGTGTAGCCTGGCTGTCTTGAGACTTACTTTATAGACCAGGCAAATCTCAGACTCAGAGATGTGCCTGCCTCTGCCTCTCAAGTGCTAGGATTAAAGGCCTGTGCCACCATGAGTGGCTTTTTTTTAAAAGATAATTAAAATTTCTTTTTCTTTTACATGTATGGGTATTTTTCCTGCATGCATGTACATGACTTCCTGGTACAGGTAGAGGTGTCGATCCCCTGGAACTGGAGTTACTGATGGTTGTGAGCTGCCATGTGGATACTGGGAATTGAACCGAGGTCCTCTGAAAGAGCAATCAATACTTTAAGCTGCTGGGCCACCTCTCCAGTTCACGGAGATGTTTGTTTTAATGAACAAAACGAACCAGCTGGGTATGTAGTTCAGTTGGTGGATGTAGCACCAACCTAGGTTGAAGAAAGGCCTGTTTATGCCCAGCCCTCCAGAAACTGGGCATGGGGGTGCACCACCATAACCTCAGCACCTGGGTGGTGGAGGCAGGAGAATTGTAAGTTTAAGATTGTTCTTTGCTAATGTGAAGTGAAAAAGCAGGAGAGAAAAAGACACACAGAAAGACAGAAACAGGAGGGAAGGCTGTAACCTGGGTTAAAATTCTATGATTATTTATATATAATGACTATAAACTGACTGAGCTTGGAGGGTTCTGGAACGTTAAAAACGTTGCAGACCAGAACCAAATTATCCCGGGCTATTTTCAGTCCCTTTGAAAGCCACTCATTGCCCACACCCATGTCTGACCTAATGTCCTCGTGACTGTGGCGACCTCAGGAAACATTCCCACTGCCCTCTGGATATGCTGATTTACGACCTGTGGCCCCCACGGCTCTATTCGGTAAATACTTTGATTTGTATCTTTCTTTGTTCTGTAATGAATAAGGTCTCCTAGAACCACTTTCTCAGTGGAACAGGCTGTTTGGCGAGACTTCAATCTGTTTCCCCAGGCCAGGGACACTCAGATTTGCCACCAGAGTAAATCAACTCTTCTTCCTTCTGGGGACAAGAGCAGTGCTTTTGTGCTACAGAACAAAGTGGAGGCGCTGAGGGTTACAGGAAGACCCATTTCAAAACAAAAGAAGAAAAAAAAAGGTCTCTCCCTTCGGTTCTTGAAAGAAGCAAGCAGTGTCAGTGGAGACTGTCATTTCCAGTATCAGGGGATCCTGTTTGGGTCAAGAATGCACAACTGATCTTAGGGGAACCCAAGTAGGGAGGGCACTCACTTGAGGGGCCTCCTCCCCACAGGTGCGCCTGACAGAAGCTTAGCATCGTCTCTGCGAAGGCTGTAGCTTCACAGACCGAGCTTTGGGAAACTAGGCTACACCTGTTTGAAGTCGATGACTGCATTTTAGAGCGGCTGAGAGATTTTTGCTTCTCCTAAAATTGGAACCCATGTCCTCAGGCTAAGCCTGCCGGGATCCCTCGGAGGCGTGGGAACAATCCCTTTAGGTGCTTCAAGAGTTCCTTGCTTCTCAGCTCTGCCATTTTATCCTGCCACTGAAGACAAGAGGAGAGCCGTGCTCTACTTGGCTAGAACAGCCTGGGAGCTTCATTCCCCAGCCAACGCTCACTCGTGAGCCTCTTCTCTCTAGGAGTCTCCCTGCTCAGGTTCCCCATTAGCGTCTCATTGAGTCTCCTGCCCACGGAGGGATTCTTACATGGAGGTACCTGTCCCAGCAGACTATTAGGACTAGAGGGTGGTGAGTGACTGCTGCAGATACAGTTTTCTCCAAGCCAGAGCTCATCGGGAAGGTCAAAGGTCTGATCTGCAGAGGGACGAATTGCACACACTTCTCTCAGTTGTGGTTCCTAATCTGATGGTCACCGGAGGGCAGCTGGCATTTCTAGACTTCAGAGTCAAACTCATTCATCAAACAGGCCACAGGCAGCTCCTGGACATGAAGGCTGCTTTCTGCAGCCTGATTCTTCCCAAATATCATGTTCATTGTGTTAGTTATGTCGGCTGCAGGGACTGGGGGCTACTGAGGCGCGAGAGAGTTTCCTGCTGGCTGAGACAGGGGCCGAGGAAGAGTTGAGCCATTCATTCCTTCTTCAACGTTCCCATGTATTAGATGTAGTAGATGCTGGGTCCGGGGACCAAGACACGACAGTGAGAACAGAGGAGCAAGGCTAGGACAAGTGGAAGGGACCCGGGCTGGCATGGCTTCAGCGGGTTTAGAGGAAGAACTTACTGAAGAACCTGAGCGAGTGGACAAGAGAGCAGTGTGATTCCAGAGTCGACCAGTAGGTGGCGCTGAGACAGGAGAGTGTGGGAAGGAGCCTCGAACAAAAACTGGCGTGGATTATGGACAGGGGAAAGATGCGACTTAAGAGTAGAAGAGAGACAGCAGGAGGGAGAATCTCACAGTCAGATCAGAGGACCAGAGCCGACCTGACCAGTGTGTGGTCCAGGGAGGGGCCAGGCTAGCAGAGTTATTTCGGAAGTACAGAGGCAGGAGTCTGACCTGGGTATAGTACCCAGACCCCAGGACTCCATTGAAGTCGTCCACATCAGACCCCAGAGGTCAGTGCAGACAGACACCACAGGAGTTATACATCAGGAAGATGTGAGTCACCCCAGGCACACACATCCAGTTCCTGGACCCTGTGAGCATTCTATGGCAAGGAGGGCCTGGGGCTACAGATGAGGAAGGTTGCTAAGGGTGCTACCAGTGGCTTGGAAGACAGAGGAGGAGCTGGGAGTCAGTGTGGGCAGCCAGTAGAGATTAAGACAGGCAAGTCTAGGGTTTCCTGAACAATCAGAAAGGGGTATGGTCTCACTAGCTCCTGGTTTTAGCCACTTTAAGCCTGTGGTTTACAGAATCACAAGATCACCAATGTGGATTATCTTAAACCATTCAGTTTAGGCAATACGCATACAAAATAGCCGGGTGTCCTGGCATATGCCTTTAATCCCCACATTCAGGAAACAAAGGCAGGCAGATCCCTGTGATTTTAAGGCTAGCCTGGTCTACAGAGTGAGTTCCAGGTCAGCCAGGACTACATAGTAAGACCTTGTTAAAGAAGAAGAGGAGAAGGGGGAAGAGAAGGGGAGGAGGTAGTAAATCCCGGGGATGGCAGACACTGAGCTGGGCCTCCCTCCCCAGGAGCCAATCAGATGATATGCTTACTTGGGGGGTGG